AACAACAACAATGTCTATGGAAGTAAACTGCCCAGTCTTCCTTCCATATGAATGAAAAGGGCACCAAAAATCAGTCTGTAACCCTTTCTGACTTAAAAATATAAACTAGGACCTTTCATAATAAATGCTGAGATTCTTGAGGAAATTATATCATACATATATTGTGGCAAAACTTTCAGCCTATCACCCCTTTTTTGAAAGCACTACAAAAAAACGAGAACAAAGACCTCCCCAGTGTCAGAGGTTGCCATTTTCTGTCACTCACTGCCTTTTCTCTTACTGGATTGTGAGCTCTTTGAGGACAGGAAACATGTCTCTTTCAGAATATCCAGGGTTTGGCACAAAAAGGCTCTTAATAAAGGTTTGCTGAGTAAATATTAAGGGCAAAAGAGTTTAACTGTGGAATCAAAGCAAACAAAATATAGTTTTTTCTAGCACTGGGAGTACAAATGGAGGTATGGGTAATAATGAAAGGTCATATTATTAGATGAGGTGAGAAAGGCAGGTATTTTCCCTCTCAAATCTAGTTTGTGCTTCCTCTTTCTCCTCTTCATATTTAATATACCTATTAAATGTTCAGATTATCTTTTAACATACTGTTTAGGAAAAGAACAGAAGAGCCAGGAAAGGCAAAGACCCAGAGCTTTCACCAATCACTCTGGTAGGTTCTGAATAACCAGAATGGTGAGGGTATCTATCGCTCCTTAAAAATAAAGAACAGAGACATCAAATTAGTTCAATTCCATAGTTGAGTATTTTAGTATCTTTTAAAGCTCTTTCACCTATCTATCTAACATTTTATTTAGATATCAGCTTCCAATGAGCAAAAGTCCTTGTTCTGGAATATTCCCGCTTCTGATACACTAAAACTGTTGAGGGGTAACTGCATTCCACAGGGACATTTGGCAATATTTGGAGAAATGCTTGGTTATCACAATTTGGGGTGAGGTGCTACTGGCACATGTGGATAAAGGCCAGGGATGCTGCTAAACATCCTACTATGCACAGGGCACCCCACAACACAGAATTACCCAGCCCCAAATGCCAACACTACGAGGGCCAAGGAAACCCTGTACCCAAAGAATGAAGGAAAGAGGGAAAAACGCATGGTGGACTCTGCTGTTATGAAGTTTTTAAAACCTAAATCCCTTGTGTCATAGATGACTTATTTCTAAATCTCATAACTGGTATCTTGGTTCAGCAAGGGTGGGCAAAACAGCAAAGCCTGGTTTTTCTGAAGAAGGCTCAGTGGTTATGCACTTGGCTGCAAACCAAGAAGTCAGTGGTTCAAACCCATCGGCTACTCTGCAGGAGAAAGCAGTAGGAGTCTGATCCCATAAAGATTTACAGCCTTGAAAACCCTACCAGCAGTTCTACCCTGTCCCTAGGGTTGCTAAGAGTCAGAATCAACTCAAAGGCAATGGGCTAGGGGTAAGAACGGGATGCTTCTTTCCCATAGGAACACAAGGGGGCGCAAGAACTCCATCTCATGAAGGAAAGCTAGGCAGTGTCCTCAGCCTCCCTCCAAGTCAGAGAAGAGAACCACCAACCAGGTATGACAATGAATGATCTTGTCCTGCAGACTACTGTCAGCGTGAGGGCAAACCTCACACCTGTGTGACTGGCTCATAAAGTGCCTGGCATAATCATTATTTTCAGAGCCAAAAAAAAAGAGCCCTTTCTACCTTTCTTCTTAGGGATCAGAGGTTGAAATGAGGATTTTATAATCTAAGGAGCAAAATCATTCCCATACAAAAGCTGAGTATAATTCAATACCACTAAGTGGAGAGATAAGGAACCTGGTGGTGCAGCAGTTAAAGCACTTGGCTGCTAGACAAAAGGTTGCTGGTTAAAACCTATCAGCAGCAGGAGAAAAGACCTGCCGGTAGGCTCCCAGGACACCCTGTGGGGCAGTTCTACTCTGTCCTGTAGGGCTGCTATGGGTCAGAATCCACTCAGCAGTGAACAAAGGGAGAGATTTACCCACTTAAGTGTAAACTACATCCTCAGGTCAAAGAAAACGGAGGTCCAATGTGCAGCTGGCACAAAACACAGATTTGCATTTCACCCTCCTCCCTCACCCACACATCTGGACTCTGTGCATGTGCTCAGGATGCCAAGTCAAACACCCTGGAAAGTTGAGGCCCAGGAGGGCCCTGTGGCAAATTGAAACCTGCCCTGTAGTTTGAAAAGGGAATGTGTACAAGAACTACCTACCTGCCAACCATTTTGAAAAGTCTTACAGTGCAAACGAAGATCACCGCAGGGCTCTCTTACCTGTAACTATGACAGTACCTCCAGGAAAGTTGCCAGTTGTACAAAATGTTCAGAGACATTCTGGGAGAAATGTTTTAGACTGGTGCTTTTGAACCTTTCATTAGCTTTTTGACAGTGGACAAAAGTTTTGAAAGATTTTGTCTATGAAATTGCATGTTAAAAATAATTTGCTCCGTATGTGTGACTGCTGATCCAGACTTTATCCAAAGATAGTGATTTTAAGAAGGGTCCTAATATTACAAAATACACAAATCACTTTTGCAGTTGTAAGGCTAATAGGCAATAAAGTTAACTAATGGTACAGACACTTCACATTGGCTTCTGCTACTGAGCACCTAATTCTGGCCATCCATCTCTGTACGTATCCAGGACAGAGTTACATGACACAGGGCTTCATGACATTATTTCATTTCCACTAATATTTTCCAAACTTCTGGGTCTTCAGCAACCAGTTAGAGCTTCTGAATAGCTGGGATGCTTTACTAGAGAGTTAATGTAATTCTAGTCAAATGCCAAAAGCCTCAACTCCCCCAAACTGTTAATATTCTATTTAGTAGTTTTAGAAAACATATGAAATATAGTTAAAGACAAATATAGAAAACAGTTCAAGACTTAATGGTTTTAAGAGACTTTATAGTACATCTTCATTTTGTTGTTGTATTTGAGTATAAAAACAGCCCGCTTCGAGTATTAGTTGAATACAGGCAGTCTAGTCCTCTGGTTATGATCACCCAACTTAGTGACAACTCCTACTTGCCCTTTAATATTATATAAATTTGCCCTGACTGAACCCACTCCTATTCCCAACAAATCTTTACCCCAATCACCTTCACTTGCTTCATATGCAACTTTTAAATCATTGAAAAGGTTTTGAGACTTTTCTTGCACTTAAAAAAAAAACCAAAAAACCCCTACTGCCATTGAGTCAATTCTGACTCAAAACAACACTTTAGGACAAAGAAGAACTGCCCCATAGGGTTTACAAGGCTGTAAATCTTTATGGAAGAACATTACCTCATCACCTTATCTTTTTCCCAAGGCGTGGCTGGTGGGCTTGAACTACCACACTTTTTGGTTAGCAGCCTGATGCTTCAACCACTACACCATTACAGTTCCTTTGCTTGGACTAAAGTAAGGCTAAATAAAAACTGTATGCCCTTAATTCCAACTTAACCACAAATTCTTAAAGACATAGTTAGGAAAAGATCTCATTTACATCTAGGGACTACCTATAGTTTAGAAGTTACAACTCAACCAGAATTTTAAAAAATTGGGGGGGGGGGACCTACTCTCAAGAGTTTAGAAATCTACAGAATATTAGGACTGGAAAGAAAAATCATCTAGTCTAACTCCCTCACTTTTCACACGAAAAATTAACCTCTTTGGAACTTAAATGACTTTAAATCATTTGGAAAGCCAGAAAGGCCAGGTTCCCAATTCAGAGCTCATTCCATCATACCCCAGTGTCTTCTGGTGAGCCATACATTATTTTATTAGCTACAATAAATACTTATAAATAAATAAATACATATTATCTGTATCAATGGATTTCAAACATGCAAGAAATACTAAATTTTGTAAGAAATACTAAATTTAAAGAATGACCCATTACCCATTCATACACAAATGAACAACAGTTTTATGACACAAAAATTATCTTTACTATATAATGCAATACACTTCCATTAAAATGATTTAATGACCCAATAATGGGTCTCAACTCACACATGCTGCCCTATGGCTGTGTTAATTTTGTGCTGATTATACATTCTTATACAATTCTCTAGTTGTTTAATTTGGGTTAATACTGCCTCTCTTCTCTTCAGATAAGACTATTAACACAACAGCAAGTCTTCTAGCAGATGCTCCATGAAGACTTGAAGCACACTGATCCATCGCTGCTTTGTACTGTTGAAAAACATCCTCTAACTTCTGCTCATAAATCACAGTGGGAAAAGAAAGAAGAAAGCAACCTTGACAAAGCCTACCCCCTCTCCTCTCCTCCTCACTAAGCCTGCTCTGCTTGACAAGGAGAAAGCACATCTTTGAGGACAAGGGAGCAAGAGGTAGAGCAGTGATAAGAACTGAACAGATGCTATTTATTTTTTCCTTACATATAAGGGTTTAAGATCCAATTGAAAAAATATAATCCTAGATGCTACAAAGAAGAGTTTCAGAGAAGCAATCTGTGTTGAATACCTATAAAGATTTTCTGAAGATTCCTCACAAAATCAAGTGCGACAGGGATCATTTTGGCCATTAGAAGGAATTAATACTCTCTTCTTATCATGTGCCTCATTGTTTTCTAAAATGTGGAAAAGAAAACTATGTGAAACTTACTCCAGTGAATTCTATTACTTGTTAACAATTGTTCTATTCTTTTTCTCATTCCACAAACACTTGTTGAAGGCTATGTACCAAGCAAGATGTCTTGAGGGACACTGTAAATGGGAAAGCCAGATGTGGTCTGCCTTTAATGGAAGATTAGAATCCAGAGTAGAAGATGTAAAAGAGGTATTTGTGTTGTTTTTATTTATATTAATTCACATTCATTCATTCATTTCCATTAATTCTTATACTGAAATGACAGAATTCTAAAAATACAGGCTTATTCTTACCAAGGAAGGTTATTGACAGAATTCAGATTAGGAAGTATCAACACAATTTACTGACACTTGAATAAATTCTTTGAGATGGAAAGGATTGTAGAGGGACTAACATACCTTGAAGTATACGGTTCCCTTCTCTTTGACCATGGCAGCCTGCTCCAATTTTTCTTTGGTATCCATCTCCCAAGATTCTTTGGCCTGTGTATAAATTTTTGACAATAGTTAGATGAACAAAGAAGGAAAAGTTTAAGCTGATGCCCTTCAGAACAAACAGTAGCTACTTTTAGAAGATAACTCCACCTCAAAACATGATGGCATTTTAAATTATGTGCCATTGCCAATTCACTGTTAG